AATGACATATAGCATTAAGGGCCAGTCTTGGAAGATGTTACAGTCCCAAATGGGGGCAAGAAAGTGCAGTTAAATACATGGAGAATGAAGTGTGGAACATTCACTCCCTGTTTTGCTGCAGACACCAGCCAGCATCAGACCACCCTGGAGCATCTGCAGATTCAAACCAAAGTGCTGAGTCAAAGTGCAGTAGAACATGACTGTCTCCTTAACATTTCTCATATCAGTTAGACATCCCTCACTTCTCCATAGAAGGAATGCTATTCTCAGAGTGTGAAAAATTCATCTAGGGATGGTTTCCAGAGAGTTACATTTCAAGTGTGGATAAGAGTTAATAATAAATGCAAGTTCTCTTAGAAAAGTCTAGATGCAAATGTGGTCTTTAGAATCTGGGATCTCTTTTACTCAAGAGTTTTGTTTGTTTCCAGTCAGTGAATATACTTTGAGAAGTTTGTCACGGTAGAAGTATCAGTTACTTGGGACAGTAACAAAGGACTTTGTGATGTAATTACTTTATAGTTCCCTAAAGCTTCTAATTTTTTTTTCCATAAACCTATTGGGCATACTAAAATATGTGTTTGCTGTGTTCTTATTCTGTAACCCACTTCTGCTTTCAGGGTGGAGTAGAGCAATTCTGCAGAATCAAGGGAGACTGAAGGGATTTCAGTTTGAAAGCAGAGCTTCAAACTCGGTGTTTAAACAGTTACTTGATTACCTTTTATGTGTTTACTATCTACTTTTCATGTGCCTTCTCCATGTATTCTGGCACTTGGCTTCTCTTGTGGTTTAGGAATGGTATTCTCCAATTTAATGTTCCCACTCTCAGTCCCCTCTCTCCCTATCTGTGGGTGGCTGGAGAGGAGACTTGGAGAAACAGAAAGTAAAGATGTGTTGAGATAAGAACAATTTACTGGAAACAGGAAGAAAACAGAGAGCAACAGCAACACTATTAATAGAAAAATGTGCTAGACAGGTGAGTGATTCATATGCAAATACTCACTACCTCTCAGAGCCTATAATACCTGATTGTGCCACACTACCATGGAAAAGACCCCTTCCTGAATTCCTGGAAAATGGTGAGAGGTGGTATCAATAATCTCCAGGTCCTAGCTGTGCTCCCTCCTGGCTACTGCAAAAATTAGCCCTGGCCTGGCTGGCCAGTTTCTTTCTGCCTGGGTTCTGGGCCTGAAAGAATAACATGGAAGTAACATGCAGTGTACTGCATGTTACTTCCATGAGCACATTTCTAATTATTTATTTTTGTGGCAAGATTGAAAGGTGGGGTCATTATCTCAACTTACCTCTAATGCAGACATTAGGTGAAGAGTTTGAGGCCTCTGTCATGGTTCAAAGAGAGATTGAGATGGACATAATGGTACCCTTCTGTGTAGGATTCTGAATGAGGTTTGTTTCATAGTAACAGGGCAGTTTGGGTTGGAAGAGGCTGTTGAAGGTCCTGTAATACAAGCCCCAGAGCAGGTATATCTTCAACTAAGTCAGGTTACCCTGAGTCCCATCCAAGCTGACCTTGAATGTTTCCAGGGATGGGTTATTCACCACCTCTCTGGGCAGCCTGTGCCAGTGTTTCACCACCCTCATCATAAAAAAAATCTTCTACACATCTAGCCTGAAACCACTTCCTTTTATTTTAAACCTACTACCCCTTGTCATGTCACTACAGGCCCTAATAAATTGCCTCTGTCTTTCTTATAAGACCCCTTGAAGCACAGGCCACAATAAGGTCTCTCCAAGGCTTTGTCTTCTCTAGACTGAACAGTCCAACTCTCTCTTGTTGATAACATTATATATATTAATTATTGGAAGGCTAAATAGAAAAACTTAGTATTTATGGAAAGTAAAACATTCTCAGTGAAGATTAATCCAAAAACAATTGGACAGAAAGTGCTGAGAAGAAACAATACCTTTAGAGATTGATACAGGCCTCATTTTTGAGTCACCTGGGTGGATACTTAGGCATAAAAATGCATGATTGTTTTGCTAGTCATGTGTGTGGCTGCTATTATGTTGTGTGTCCTGAGTGCTGAGGAAAAGGCTTCCCCCAGCATTTCTGCTGTGTAGGGATTTGGAACAATTTGTGGAACAATTCACCGTTCCCAGCTGGCGGCTCCACAAGCGCAGTGGAGGAGGTGCAGTTGACATCTGCAAAGGTGATGCAGGGCAGCTCTTGTTGTGGAACACATGTTTGGGTAACTCACCTCTGTTTTGATGCCCAAACTAAGGCAGAAATGGTAGGAGAAGACAGCTCTAAGAAGAGGCTGTATGGCTCCAGGCAGGAAGAGCTCTTCATGCAAAAAAGACTTAATAGATTGGCACTGTTTAGGGACAGTTAGAATGAAAAAATAGAATTCTCTGAAAAACAGATGTAATGGGAAAATACAACCTAGATTCTTCTGCTTATTTTTTCCTGTCACACAAAGTTGATCAATGAAACTGGAAGTCCAGGAGCCTAACAACTGTAAGGTACGCTCTGTACCACGCCATAGCCTAGAAATTCATCGTCACATGCTGCCATTATCTTAGCCAGTGTTCCAGAAAAATAAGAAATAGAGGTAAATAATGTGATATTGAGGAGCAAGCAACTGTATCTAATACCTTCAGTTGTTTTACTTATTAAGCTGTGTAATGATTCATGACCAAACTCAACTCTCTGGCAGTAGAAAATATTTTTTTTCAAGCAGCTTACATGGAGGGAAAGAAGTACGTCTGCACAGCTGTTTGGGAAGCTGTTCCCATTTGGGTGGGAGCCTGAAAACTCCAATTAACTCTCACTTTTAATGCCTGGCTTCTCAGTGTATGGAACACTGGTAAAATGGAAACACTTAACATGCATTCTTGAAACAAATCTTAAATATATCTGGCACTTGGGCGTCCCTCTCCACACATCATCAGGCACGGGAGAAGCTGTACAGAGGGAGGTGGTTAGCACATGAGCTTGAGTCACAGAAGATAAGCATTTCTATAGCAGCCACCTTTGAGGGAAGGGGAGGATTGAGGTTCTCCAGGGACAGCATAGCAGTGCCTGCTGTAGCTAGAAGCAACTTAGTTTTGTCCATGACTTTTTACTTTTTGTAAGTCAGAAAGTTAGTACAGAGCTACATTATGTTTCTGTTTCTACATTATGTTTCTGTTAATGTATGGACTGAGCACTGACAAAATCTGTATTTCAGTTGACTTTTTATTTTTTTAATTGGAATTTCAATTTGGTTTTGTCATTGAGAGCAAATGATTTGGACTGAAATTCCATACTTGCAGGTCAGATTGTTTATCTGCTATTCAGTGCTGAGTGGGTGGGATATGAAGTCTAAGCAATACCAGCCACAAGTTTAACATGGTTTCAAACAAAAAAAAAAAGGTAGTCTGGAGTATGCAATGCAAATTTCAAAGCTGTGTTGTTCAGTGTCTTTAATTTGAAGTCTTAAGGTTTCCTTGCTGGAAACCTGGACCACCTACATCAGGGAAGGGGGTGAATTGGATGCAGGCTTGCTTTCCTCAGTGACTTCTGATAGATGCTGTAGAAATTGGCTACCTCTATAATAGAGCAGATGAGAGATCTAGGACTCTGGCCTGATAGAATCAGTGAGCTGTGAGCAATGGTAATCAGAGTGATGGGACAAGTTCATTAGCAAAAAGGAGTTTGTTTGCTTGAATACCAGGATGGAGCTGCCTGGTTGTTTGGACTTGTGATATGGAAAATTGAGGGAGAACTGAAGAGAAGGAAGGTGTTGGGCAGACATCACCTTGTTTAACAGGGCTGCTGTGTTATACCAACAAACTGATAACAAAAGAGTGAGCCTGGAAACATGTTATGGAGAATATATTAGATACATATGTCCGCAATGGCACTTTGGTCAGGAAAGAGTCAACCCAAATTCAGACGATGTTCAAAAGATTTAAGGTACTGCATGAAACTGTAATGGCTTTCTTATGCACATTGCATACTGAGATTATTTTAAGCTTATATATTATCCCAGAGCTATTGAGGAAACTGGTGAGAGCTCCAAGAACAGCCTAAAGCATGAGACTGAGCTAGATAATCAACTCAGGAAAAAGTTCTGAGAGCGGTCTGTGTGCAAACTGACAGCTCTTGATGTGGGGAAAGTGCATTGTTACAAACAGCAGAAAAGAATAATGCTAATACAGCAGAGAATGATTGGTTTTAGTTGTTAGGATCAAGTAGTGAGAGTAAGTTGAGAAACCTAAGGTAATAACAGGAAACACTTTCTAGTCATAGGATCTGTTTGGGTTTCTGAAGTATCTTACAAGGAAAATTATGGCAGTCATGCTAATTGGGATATCCAGAAATGAATCTGATGAATCATTAATAAATACAAAAACCCACACCACTGCAGTAGTTTCTTTCCTTACCAGTTGCTGTTTGGGAACATTTATTTGTCTTGAGCCAAATAAAGGTGCGTTTTGAGGTTTCTATGAATTTGTGCTATAAAATGAATTAGAAGAATGGTGCATGTTTCAAAGTACTTGTGTAGATCTAAACATTTTAGTATCTTCATCCTCTTTAGGTGGTGCCCTGACTAATACAGACAGTTCTTGCATGGAGGGACAATCATTTGCATTTTTAATGCATCTCCTTGAAAGACTTATTTGTTGCTTATTCTGAGATTGGAATGGTGATGCAGTGCACTGATAGCTTAAAATGAAAGTCAATCAAACTGATTTCTGTTTTAAACTGACAAACTGATTGACTAACCTTAAATCACCTTGCTATTGAGGAAAGCAGTATGGATCACGTTTTTCTTCAACCTTTGGTGAGTCTGTAGCTTCCCAATGGGACTGTCTGTTAGAGTTTGTTTCTGGATGGAAGTCATTAGTGGCTCATTTCATCCTGCTGCCAGGTAATGAGGATGGTACTCTTGTGTTCTTCTGTCCAGCCTGTACCAGTGGTACAGAGTGTGCTTTTTCTGTCTTCACTAATGTCTGTATTTGACAGACCTTTCCAATTTTTTTTAATGTGATTTCAGCTTCCAAACAATTTGCTGAAGAAGTCTTGAAAGTACACAATGACTACAGGAAGAAGCATGGAGTCCCCCCATTAAAACTCTGCAAGAAGTTAAACAGAGGAGCCCAACAGTGAGTTCAGTCCTTTCTTTTCTCTAATGAGATTTGTGGCACTTTTGTCTGTTAGGTTTGACTATGTTTACTGCAAAGATATTTGTCTTTTGACATGCTGATAACCAGTGAAGACTTACTGAGTAGAAAGTGAGGAACTCTTTCATCCCTGCTTTTTTCCTCACATAGCAGTAGCTGGTCATATGGACACTTCTGTGGTCACAGCTGTATGAATCTTTCTTGGAGCCTTTTTCAGATGTGGAATACATCTGTCTGCATCTGGTAGGTGTCCTCTGCAGAGGACAGTTGTCTAAAACATACTTTACCACCACTTTTGTCAAATGAGGGATTATTATCTGCAGGAGAATATCTACTCCTGCTGAAATAGTGAGAAAAGAACTTTTTCATAGTAAAAAGTGGTGACTGGTCTGAAATCAGTGGAATCAGGAGGAAGTAATTTCAGATTAATATATCTATATCCCAGCCTCAAAAGTAAAAGTATTATATGTTCTCTGTCCTGTCATGAAGGAAACATCTTGCCTCTTCTCCAAGTGTTGAAGACTGCACAAGTTCTTCTCAGTCTAACTTACAGTGAATCCATCTTCCTGCTCTCTGACTTGAGTCTTCCTTACAGGAATTTGAGTCCAATACTGCTAAGTCCTCTTTACTGTAGTTATGATAACCAGATTAATTCCTTTCTCTTTAGAGCAATCTTTTTCAAAAAGTAGGTTTAAAAATCTTCATTTTTTATTTTCATGCTGATCCTCATAGCACAAAGGAGATAACTGAAGGAGTAAATGCTGATTAAACTATTCAGAAGATAAATTGTACTGAATTTTAGGAAGTTTGTTCTCTACTCTAGAGATAAGACCTCCTCCCATTAGCTTTCTACCACAACCATGTAGATTTCTCTGTGCTGGGTGTCTAGGAGATAGAGATGCTGTAGTCTTTCCAGAACCTGATTTATTGTCCCAGCATGATGGGACACAGATGTCATGCAAATAAACTGGCACCTGACTCCTAGATTTCTCCCAGGCGTTGTGCTGAACCATATCAATGGCATGTGGACATGACCTCTGGCAGCAAGAAAAATATTGGTGTTTTGGTGTTTTCTTTTCTTTTTTTTTTTTCCTTTTTTTTTTTTTTTTTTTTTCCTTGAGACACCATTATAAGTGGATACATTGTTCCTAAGACGAGGAACGCCAGTGACTCATTTACCAGCCTTGTAGTCTGCTGGGGCTTTCCTTCTGTTCTTCTAAGAGGTTTTTTTTGTTTCTGTTTTTCATGCTCTCAGAAAGGAAAAGATTTCATTGACTTGTCAATAGCACTTGTTGGGTCTCAGAAGTGCAACACTTGGTTTGAACAAGTCGGCTTGTATGAATAGTTCAGATTATTCTATCAAATATGCATTGCTCCACATTTATCTCTGAGTGTACTGTTGCCCTTGCTGGGTATTTTTAGATCCTTCAGAAATTCCTCACAGCCATCTTTAGTCTCAGCTGATGCCCTGCTGTGACAAGCAACAATAGAAAACCTCTCTTTGGTTGAGGTCTGTAACTTGTAAGAATTAAAAGACATATTCAGAGACTGGTAAAACTGGTTGACAGCAAGAGCAAGAAATATTTTCCCTGAATAAAAGACATGACATTTAAGAAATCTTGTATTTGTCAAGACAGATTTTGCATATTCTTAAATTAAAAGAAGAACTTCACCTTTTCTTTGGGTATGTCCTATATATATACCTTTGTTGATATGTATTTGGTGTATCTCTGGGTACTTTTCTGTGCTTCTCTACCTGTTTTGAAAATGGTATGTTTCCTACTATTTTCAGGTCCAGTTATTGTGACAGGTGAACTATTGGATCCCTGCCTTAACATGAGATGAGTCAGCCTCAGCAGGTGTCTGTTTATCTCTGACTGTAATGAAGCATAGGGTGATGATCTCAGATGAAAATCTCATGCTTTCAACTGCCTGGGCTGGAGTGGATTAATCACCCTTTGTCTTAAATCCCTGGCAGCTTCTTCCATCTGCAACGTGTACTTCGTCCTGGTGCTGCCTCTAACTTGGGATATGAGGATCCTGAGAAAAATTACAGGACTGTAGAGATAGCATATGAAGACCCTCTAGTCCAGGATCTAGCAAACTGACAAGTTTTCATTATTTATAAATTAATGGATGTAGCTTAAAACCCTTTTGTTTTGTTTTGGTGGGAGGATTAGGGCAGAAGAAAATTAGGATGTAGTGACTGAAGTACTAGCTTGGGTCAAAATGTCCAGCTGGACAAAATTCATGTCTCTGGCAGATACCAGAAGCTCATGATTATGGAAGGAGTAGGAAGACAAAAACAAATGTGATCCTTCCCCCATTATCTTCTCCTGGAAATTATGGTTTTCCTCAGCAGTAAGCTGTATCCTCATTTATTTGTTGCTGTTGTTTAATATGCCATGAAGATTCCTCCCCACATCCATACACTGTGAATTTGCTGCTCTCTTCTCCAAACTCACATGTGCTTTGGTGTCTGCACTGTCCTGTGGTGATGACTTCTGCTGCACAGTGTGGAAGGAGTGCTTTGTCTCACTTGAATTGTAAATCTACAACCTGATGACTCTCTGTGTTGCCTCTATAAGAAATAACAAGTGGTCTTTCCAATTTCCCCGTCTCTTTACTGAAGCCTTTCCAATATTGAATAAAGAGAGTAATTGTTTTACCCATAATGTTCTTCTTTACACTATTGTCCTAAGAAAATAAAATACATCCCACGCTCACACACATGTCAAATTCTATAGAAGCAGTGCTGCTTATCCTATGTTGGTTTACACAGTTGTTGCCTCAGAGTCTCCATGAGTCTCCCCTTCTCTTCCATCTTGTTGCCTGGTACATTGCTCTTCTTTTGCATTTGACTTTTTTTCTTTCATTTGTAAATGTAGGGGGGGTTATGCTTGCTTTGACTGAATCCCCACTTCTGTGTTTTTTCCAGTCTCACTGGGAACATTTAATTTACTCCTGTGAGGAACCTAGAAATGCCAGGAGGTGACACCTGTAGCAATTGTTGTAGGTACTTCCCTTTCCACCAGCAGCTGTGGCTAACGATGGCTGGTGGATTTCCAGGTGCTGGTTAAAATGTGGTGCAAAGGGATCTGCCCTTTGATTTCTTCTGGGCCCTTCTCAGAATTTATACAGATACTCATGAAAGACAGGGAAAATGTGTTTATTCCTTTGCCTAATTCATAGATCTATGTAACCTTAAAGCATCTCTGGCTTCAGGGCTTTGCAACTTGACTTAAACCCATCATCTTCTAGCACAATTCCTTGCTTTCATATCCTTCTCTTCCTCCTGTTCCTCCTCCTTTCTGCTGATTGCAGCTGTGGTCCCTGACCCAATGTGTGGATTCCTTTGCTAGGTATGCAGAAGAACTGGCTGCCACGAGGGTCCTCAAGCACAGCTCCGAGTCTGCTAATGGGAATTGTGGAGAAAACCTAGCATGGGCATCCTATGACCAAACAGGTGAGCTCTCTTCTGTTGTCTCACAGATACCTGATAAATGCCTTATCTTAAGTACTTCGGGCTCAGAGCATCTGGTTGCAAGATTTCCTCTGCTTCAAAAGTGTATCCAGCATAGCCCAGCCCTAGGGAGCTCCCTGGGGCAGGCTGGTGGTTTGCAGTCACTTGTGTCCTGAGAGCAAGAAGCATATGTGGGCACAGAGGGAGTAAGGGACTGTGGTGATGAGTCATGTCCCTTTGGAGGCAGGACATGGCAGCTAGGCCACTCCAAGTGTCCCTGCTGTGGAGCTGTCTGTATTGGTACTTGTGTGTCCATGGCAGGGGAGAAGGGAGCCAGCAATGCCCCTACCTCACCTTTATCCTTAGTTTGTCCCAGCCAAAGAGAGGTCTGCCCACAGCTCAGCTGTGGTGAGGGATGTGGAAAAATGTCTCTTGCACGCTGCACAGCAGTTTCTGTTTGTGGGGGCAAAAGCAGGGGACTGACACCAGAGTGACAGTGGCTAATGTCCTTCCAGTAATATCTTCCACTCTGTCAGCAAATGGGCTTTTAAGCCCTTTTCCATGATTACATTTTTGAAAACTATTTTACTCCATGTATTTTCTGATTGTAAATGTAATAAGTAACTGGAAGCCTTTGGTTTGGGTGTCCCAGGAGCTGAATTTTGGTCAGGCTGACAGCCTGTAGTGACCCCCTCAGTTGAAGACAGATTCAACAGATTCTCTTTTCTCCTGCCTCCTTCCAGTGAGCAGGGCTCGTCTCAGCTTGCTGGGACAGCAGGTGGGATGTATTAAAAGTGGCCACTTGCTTTCTTTATTCCAAACTACCCCTGGAATTTCCAGCACAGCCCCAAAGAAACAGAAGATCATTTCCACAGGCTGGAGGCTCTGTTTGAAGAACTGGGAAATTTTAGTGAATTTTAGTCCCAGGGATGCTGTTTGGTTCCTCCTCAAGTGCCAACTCTAGTCCCAAGTGGGTACATTTTCATGTTGAAAAAGAAACCCATGGTGGAAAAATACAATTTGATCTGCTCATGTTTGGCATTCTGTCCTTCGCAAGGGTGTGAGGAAAGGATTCGGAGCAGCATGGGAAAACACAGATGTATGGCAGAGTTTGCATAGTGGCTATGACTCACTGACTGAGCTTACTTCTTTCTTCTTGTTTGTGTTAATGGCCTGTGCTCCTTCCCTCGAGGTTAAAGCCACAGAATTCCCATTTACAGAGCTGGAAACATAACACACAAATCGTTCTACGTAATGTCTGCCTTTTCTCTGGATCCAGTCTGTTTTCTTCAATGCACAGTTTCCATACTTAACTTTCCAGTTTTGAGAAGTTTTTCTGGTTTTTATCCCCAGGATTAAATGCCATGTTGAGAAAATTAAGCTACATCCTCTTTTGTTCTGTGTAACATTTCTATATTTCCAATGCAGCAGGATCACTCAAAGTACCAGAATGAGAAAGCTAGTTCTTCAAAGGAAGTTGTTTTCTCATCTAGGCTTAGTCTTTGTCTCTGTGGAGCTGGTTCATTCTTCCTTTTTCTCATATAGTTCCCTCTGGGTAGTTAATTTGTACCCTGCTCAATGAGGCTGAAATTTGGATTAAGACATCCATTCAGGGGCTTAACAAAGGCAGGCAGTGTCTTCTGGTTTCTTTCCCACATAAAGCAAGACTCAATAAACCTCTAGAATACTCTGTATTCTCTCTCAAAAAGTGATGCTGTTGTTTATTTTGGCTCTTGCTGAGTTCTGTAATAATGCCAGAAGATGCATTTCTTGTTTCAGGGAAGATTTAAGCTTTCAACTATAAAGCCTTCTAATATGAGTCCTCTCCTGGTACAAGAATACCTTGAATTCTGGTCGGGATTTTAGAGTTACATGGCCTAAAGCTGTTGCTGGAAATATGTTTATCCCTGTAATCCAAGAAATGGTTGACAGCTGTTTCCTCCCTCCAGTCCTGCAGGAACTGCTCCGTGTCAGACTGTTTTTTGTCTGTGTTCAAATAAGTGAGCTGTCATCTGCCACTAATGCAAGAGGCATTAATGCTGCCTGCCTTGGCAGCTGTGCTGTCAGGCTTCTCAGGATGCCTCATCTCACTGCTCATGTGTCAGGAGGCTGAAGGCAAGCACTGGATGTCTGAATTCTGTTTGGGATGGCTGGTGTGGCTGAGACAAGCGTGCCCTGTTGTTGGTGGAAATATTGCAGCTTATGAACTCTCTGGAGAGCTTGTAAGAGAAATCCATGGTCAGCCATCCCCCAAATCTGTCATGGGAGGAATCTGGGTCTCCTAAGGTTGGGACTAGTGTACAGAACAGCACAAGCACCGTCTGTCCCAGCCCCAGAGGAGTGTGCTCTGACTGAAGGCCTTTCTTGATGCCTAACACCAGGTTCACACAATACTGTTAAAAAAGTAAAATAAAGTAAGGACTTCCATGAGGGATGTTGAAAGTAGAGAGTTACTTCCAAAAGCCATTAGTATGACTTTAGTCTAGGTAGATATCTTATTTCAAAAGCAATGATAAATCTACCCTCTGTCCCCCCAGACTGATGGAAGGTATGTTGTGAAAACTTAGTTTTTAAGTGAATCATCGAGGTGCTGCCCATTTGCAGAGAAATATGTCCTATGTGATTCTATTAAAATGTTTTTAACAACTTAGTGGGATTACTTGAGGCTTTAAGTATTCTTTGGTATGAGGAGAAACAGTAAGGCTGGGCACAGAGAAATTAAGTGTTGAGGGGAGCTGAATACAGGAACATGGCTGCTACAGCATTGTGCTCCTGATGGCGAGGTTGGGAATGTGTTTCCAGCCTTACACACACAAACACACATGTACAGCATTGATATGTGTATTTATGAAGAGCAGCACAAACAGATGCAGTCAGTATTAACATGAACAGCACCAGTGGCCTCTTCCTCTTTCCTGTTCCAGCTTATTGCAATATATGTTCCCATATATGTTACTGGAATATATATAAGTAAATTAATATAGTATATAAAATTCAAATATCTATTTTTCAGTAAATGATCTAAAAGTAGACATAATATACATATATATAATAATACAAATAGAATTTCATTGTGGATCCCAGCAGTAACTAAGCTCAGACACTCAGTCTGCCCAGAGCTGTCCCTGGATGCTGATCTCACCAGTAGCTCGCACTTGGACATACCAATTCCTGAGGCTGCAGTTCCACTCCAGTTGCCAGTACAGTGCATCTCACACACACAGGTCCCTGGCTGCTGACCAGAAGCCACCCTGCAATGGCCATACACTTGTGTAGCAACTCCTCCCAGGGCACTTCACCTGCTCACCAGCAGGTCCCTCTCGTGCTTTGCTGGTGCTCCAGTTGCTGGCACCACAGACACAGAGGTCCCTGCAGCCCTTGGTCTGGTACTGGTTGTTGGCACTCACACCCTCAACATCCACACCGAATGGAGCTCCTCACCCAGGAGAATAGCTAAAAATTATATTTATGAGACAACAGCACAGCTGATGAGATACAGAGCATGGCCAGGTGAGAGTAATGGCACCTGCTTATATGCAGTGACCCCTTGAGAGTAAGTGGGACATAATTTAATATGTTAATCCTGTTAATCCTACATATGGGCTGAGCCCTCATGGTCACTCCTCTGACCCTCTGAAGAAGCTCAAAGTACAGTCAGTGTGACCATGTTGCATGCACGTAAAATAAAAATTTCTGCAAATAAAATCAAATCACTGTACTGCTTCTGGCCCTAGTCTTGGGCAAAACTATACTTGGGCATTAGTTCAAGGGTTGTTGCACCAAGTTTTCAAGTGAAGAAGATTGTCGATCATGACTGAAATTCACTGGAGTGAGATTCAGCCTGTTCTGAAATGAACATCTAATAAACCTAGCTGAGCAGGTCATCAGTGAGTTATCTCTCACTTGGGAGAAGGGTGGAGTCAAACTGTGTTTCCTTAGTGAGTGTGTTGAAACTGAGTGTGGTTTACAGCAGTACAAAGAGGAAGGGTCATAAAAAAGCCCAGCAGAATATTTATGAATCAGTTCCACAAGCAGAGCAGTAGAAGAGAAGCTGCAGCTCTGACTGCAGGGCAGATCCGTGTGCTTTTTGAGAGGGGTAAACTTTATCATTTCTGCTCTGATCAGGAATGAGGGATGTGAGCAATTTCTTTTCTGTGGTTTTGTTGGTTTTTTTTTCCTTCTGACTGAAAAGCAACCAACTTCCTCTGTTTTGAGGGAACTTTGGGAGCAGGAGGAGCTGTTTTCAATGAAACATTGCAAAGCAACCAAAACAGACCCTAAATATGATGGCATCATAATTTATCCCATAATACGTTGAAATGGGAATATTGTGGTCAGTTTTCTGAACCAGTAAGTCTGAGGATGCAAGTTGCTGCTAAAGCAGGTAGGCTCAGTGCACTCCTGACCCTTGTGCTGTTTTCTCTCTGGGAGCCTGGGAGTCACTGGGCTCAAAGCAGGGACTTTCCTTAGTCCCCTGTGTGCTAGCTGTTGCTTTCAACACTGCTTTGGCTTGAGTCCCACCAGGGCATTGCTTACTGCTCCACAAAGGGCAAAGAATCAGAAGAAAAGTATTTCAGAGGAAGGAGAGACTGTTTAAACACTAGGTACCTACCTGTCTTCTCATGCGGTAATAACCTCCACCTTGGACTTCCCCTCACTTCCTGTGCCATGTGACAGATACAATTCTTTCCCTTCACTTACAGGACACTTCTTTAGCATGATTTCAAGACAGAGTTTGTCAGAAGTTGCCTAGCCCTTTGGTGACCTTCTCTTTTGCTGGAAAAAAGTCAGTCTTTATTTTCTCACAGCTTATGAGGCCATGACTCTTAATTCACGGATGATGACAGCGATGCTATCTTAATGAAAACTTGATCCTGCATGTGAAAAATGGAGAATAGTGATCAGCTTCTTGGCTTTAACTGCCTGGCCTCAGTCAGGCAGCTCAGAAAGCTTTCATCCTTGAAATCTGGGAATTAACACATGATAGACTGTGCTGCCCAACTGTGCTCATTTTCTTTCAGGTACAGGATTGAGGCAGTCTTACCTGATGCCATTGCTTTCTCCCTTGAATTTAAAAAAAAAAAATCAAATTATAGTATTCCTTAAATTAAAAGCAAATTAATTATGAATAGATAGTGTTTGTCAAAACTTCCATGTGCCCTTCAATACTTGCATTATGGAGATTTTAAGTTCTGTCATGTGCAGCCTAGGCTCACTTCACAGAGCAAAGTGGGGGTGACTTTCTCTTTAAATACTGTTTATACTATATCACACTGATACAATAACAGGGGGAATAAAAAGCTGTCAGCAGTGAGAAGAACACAGTCCTACATCTGCTAAAATCCTATTTATGTAGTATGGTCACTTTAACACTTGTACAAATAAAATATATGGGCTTCATAAAGTCTGATATATCAGCAGTCACATTCTGTACTTCTGTTACACCCAGCTTACCACAAACCCATCTAAATCCTTCATAGCTATAAAATCTAGAGTGGGACAGGATGATCTGCTTAGCTTGTTGTGTGTTTTTTTTAGTATGTGCCTTTCCCCCCCCCGCCCTTGTATTGCATAAAGATCACTATTTTCACTTTCTTTTAGTCTTCGTTTTAGCTGTAGCATGAGTAAGGAACGAACAAATAAGTATGTGTTACATAGTTCAACCATCATACATGTCTACTGCCTTTGGTTTTTTTGGCACAAGGAGAGTAGGAAAAGAAGAAACGGATTGTTATTCCTGAAACTCTTACTTTGGGAGGCAAAAGATGTTTTGTTACCTTTTTACGTCGATAAAATGAATTACTCTACTCAACATTATTCGTAACAAGCAGTGTGGCATGTAAGTTCGTAGTACTTCCAGTTCCTAAACCTCTCTAGAGATAGCATTTCATTGAGTATTTGCTTATCAGCTAGGGCTCTGACAACCAGCTTGCCAGGCTAACAGCATCATCCTTTTAGCTGACTTCAGTCATAAAAAATTGAAGTTTAAAGAAGTTAACGCAGTGTCTGTCTAGAAGTGCGCAAGTTTAAGACTTTTTGCTGAAAAATAGCAAAGCATGAGTCATTGCTCTTCTGCAGCCAACAGTCCACCAGGGACCAGCATATTCTTCATGATGGCAGGCTTAACAGCTTTGGCAGCTTGCTCTGAAATCTCCTGGCCTTGCGTTGATGATGCCTTCTGGAATGCTAAGCAGAAATTTCATTATTGAGGTTGCTCAGGGAAAAACCTGACCCCTCTCATCCCCACAGTGTTTGACACAAGCATTTCCTAACAACCAGTAATGGAAAACAAGTAACATTTGACATTTGTCTGCACAGCATCTGCAGATCCTGGTCTGAGCTACATCCCTGGCTGTAGTCATAGTCCATACACAGCTGTTGTCAGGGAAAGCCTTGGATGGGATGAGACAGCACTGGACACACAGATTTCCACACAGAAGCAGCCCCTAAGTATGAATATTTAAGGTTTATGTAGTACCCTGTATTACAGTGCCTCTAAATGGACCTTTGCAGCTAGGTAGAAACCACTAAAAATAAATGCACTCAGAAATATGAAATATTCAATGCTGGTGAGAAAATGGGAAACTAAAAGACATCAGAATTTTTTTTGTTTGTTTGTTTGTTTACTTGGAGATGGAAGGGGTAAACATCCACAGGTGTGGCATTTTGCTTAGAAGACATGGTCCACAGGCATTTTCAAACACATTTCAAGAGGAAGATACTGGTGAAAGCTGTATGTATAAGCCTGATGACAGGAGCATTTATGTAAGACAAGGGAGATGTGTCTTCCTTACCTTCCAAGCTGAAAGTTAAAGAAGATCTTACTGGCCAGGCTGTTAAGTGAGCTACATGTCTGTGTTTATGTCATGATTCTGTAGTACATTTCTTTTGTCTTTCAGGAAAAGATGTGGCTGACAGATGGTACAGTGAAATAAAAAATTACAGCTTTCAAAACCCAGGGTTTTCTTCTAGGACAGGTAAGTTCGGACTGGGAACTGTCTCTTCAAAAATGAAACTTCTATTATCATGCTAAAGACTGACAAAAGTGTAAAAAATCCTGGGATATTAGAAACTAAGCAAAATTTGTAGTGTTTTTTTTTAGTACTGCATTTTTCCTCCAACTTCAAAGTTTTGAGCAGGCAATTTACTTTTAAAGCAAATTAATCTGTAAGAAATACTAAATTGGAATCATATAGGAGTCTTACTAAATGTGCTATGTTGTTGTTGACATGTGACTTCTGCTGAATTATATCACTCCACACACAGAGATCACTTCAGCTAAAATTTGGAGATTGGGAGCAGGTTGTTGGCTGCATGTTGACAATCTAGTGAAGAATGAATTTGAGAACATTGTTCCTCAAATAATGCTTAAGCAAGAGACGCATCTGACCTTGTTTCAGATGAAGAAAATCATGCTTTTCTCCCTGATTTTGGGATTTGCCTGTGCATACTGGGAACAACAATGTAGGGGTGGCTATTCAACTAGGCAGAAGGAGCCACAAAAAGAGTGGGGATTTTGAAGAGTTGCACATGCAAACACATGGGGGAGTATGAGGTGGTTAAAGCAAATGAATAATAGTCACTCTCAAAACTGCAGGGAGTCAAGGCTGTCATGTCTTTGTAAAATTTTAAGTCAGATACTTACCAAACTACTTCTCTCATGATTCTCCTGCTTCATATTCTCATTTGGATATAGGATATGGAAATGGGAATAGTACTATGAAAACAAATCAGATTAGGGGTTTTCAAGACAAAATGCTAGAGGTAGGGCTCCTTTTCATGTCCTTAGCTTGTTCTCATGTTTGACAAAGAAGCAGCTGTGTATTGTTCTTTATTTTTTTTTTGTCCAAGCACCTCATGTATTAAAGGGAATGTTACAGATTTGGTATCTAATGGGAATGTTTATGTTTCTTTCTTCAGGTCACTTCACAGCAATGGTCTGGAAGAACACAAAAAAGATAGGAGTTGGTAAAGCATCTGCTAGTGATGGCTCAACTTTTGTGGTGGCTAGATATGATCCAGCTGGAAATGTAGTAAATCCAGGCTACTATGAAGAAAATGTTCTTCCTCCAAGAAAATAACTTTTTTTTTTAAGGTAGTCTTACTGCTTAATGACAAGTGAACCTGGATTTGGACCTAACAGTGTTTGAAATTAAGCCAAATTCAATGAAATCTCCTGTTTGATATTGCTGTTCATGTCTCATTGTGGAGGAAGCAATTACTTGTTGCTTGAGTCAATCTGCACATCAGGCCCCTGTTGTTTCTGAGGGGACCTCAATTTATTTGAGGATGAACTTGATGCAGCATTCCTGAAGGATAAAGTGGGCAAGATTTTTTTTTCTTAATTGTTTGCGTGAACTCTGTGTCAGCATGTGAGTAAGCACATGTTGGATGTTTATTTTTTTTTAACAAATTTATAGCTTTCTGTAAACTGAAGATACCAGCTTGTAATTATATTACGTACTCCTAGCTATATTTTTTAATAACTGTAATTTCGTTGCTCTGACTTTACCTCCTGCTGTTGTGGGACCTACTCTCTGCAGATGGAACACATGCAAAACTTCTGTATGAAAGGTACAGGTATGTAGTGGAATGTAGTGGAATTCAGACCTGTGTATTTTTATTAAGAGGATCTTGCAGAACACTAAAAGGCTGATGTCAAAACTGTAGCCATCAATCAATCTGTAATTAATGCATGATCTAAAAAAAATACCCAAACATTTTTTTAATCCCATTTTAGATGCTGATATATAAAATATGTTTGAGATGAGTGTATTTTAAGTTCAAAGTGCAACCTACAGTATGTACCTTGTATTATAATCAAATTGTTTACTTCCGGTGAAGAAAAATAAGATTCTACTTGTTTGATATTTATGCACAAAAAAGTTTCTTTGATGGTGCACTTTGGATTTTACTTCTCAGTAACTTATTTTTATTTCCTAAGGAATATCTTTTAAAGGTGTCATGCTATACAGGCAATAACATTCCCAAACCATCTCATCTCCTTTAATAATCTAACAGTAGAGGTATTCACATTGTCATAATTAAGAGATGTTTGCTCTTTATTCATATTATTCAATAATAGTACTATTACACATACTGGATTGATGCCTTGAAAACAGTGAAGATTTAATTTCCGTAAGAACAAGCCAAGCAACAATTCTGGGGACACTCTTTTCTTTGATTAAATGTGGATTGGGCCATTTTGGCCAGGTTCATAAACTATGCTTCAGTTTGGGGGTTTGTTTTCTTTGTAAAAGTTTCTCTTGAGTTTTGCTGAGATTCTGTATGCCATAATCTGGTTCATGGACAGTGCCATTACAGAAATACTTCTTTTTTGTTTACACAGTTGTAATAAACTGCACTCTTATGGCTTGATTATGTGTCACTGTGATGCTGTTTGTTACATTTTTTGCTGTAATCAAGAATTTGACACGTATCATGAGCAACTGAAAAATAAATATTTTTAATATTAACTACTCAAGCCTTTGCAGTTACCTGATTCTTTGTTGAATAATCCTCAGATTTTATTTCTAGGACATTAACATATGACTTTACTACTTTTGTAACTTTGGGGCAAATAAAAGCATCGACTATTCCAGTCCAGGGGAGAAAGAGGAGACCTTCTAAGAGAGGCTAAATCATACAGCAGATCACAAATCCTCACTTCATACAAAGACTGAGTGAAGAGTTGAAGCTGAAGAGGCGCGACTCTTTCTCTTGTTTCATTCTGCTGCTCCCTCTCTCGGCTGACGTGTTGTCGGTAAAGAAAACCCACTTGACTCCCACTCAGGTTTGTGTGTGTTTCAGGAACTGCAGCCTTGGGGCCTTCCTCCCCTCAGCCCTCAGCTGACAATAAAGATGGGAACGAAACCAGGACTTTCTAAAAAAATGAACAGGCTTGCTGCAGCTGACGTAAAGTTAAAAGCTGATGTTAAAGAAATTGGCAGTGTTGAAATACTCTCTTTTTTTCCTAATGACTTTCATGCTACTGGCCTTATAATTCCTTGAATGATTGATGAAAAACTGTACATATTGTAGTTGAGTGAGTCAAATCAGAATCTTTCTCTGCTGCACCTGGGTTTTATTTTAAGTTCAGAGAGAACTGGGAAGGTAGGTGAAGAGAGGACAAAACAAAACAAAGCTTTGCTTGTCTTTATTTAAAATTACAACGGCAAGTGCACTTCTGGAGGTTTTTAGACAGACCATTTTGAGGGGACTTCAGAAGTAAGTGGACATGGAAGAAGCACAAAGCCACTCAGATTGCCTCAGTGCTTGCTTCATGCACTCCACAGAGAGTCCATGTAAGTATGACTGTAACAATTAAAAACCCAAACCGGTAATTTACTTCCTCATGACCCAAGATTATGATGCTGATACCTTCTGCAAATGAACTCTGGCTGTGCAGCAAACCATGGGGTATGTAGGAGTCCAAATGCAAAGGGAAGGGGAATGGTGCTGATGTGACTCACTCAAGCCACATGATTTTTGGGAATTGTACACTGAACCTTGACTTGCCAGCCATCAGTATTAAAAGATTGTGTTGGTGTATCCCCCCACTATCTACCACATGTTGGAGACTTGTGGAGATTGGGAGATAGCAGAGAAAGGTTATCTCCTGTCAGGTTAGAGCAAACAAGATGTTCCTCAGACAGTTTTAGAGGTAGAAGTAGCTTTTACCCTGGGAACAAAGAATAGGCTAAACTGAGAAAAATACCTACTTTTAGAGGCCTGCAGATGATTTCTAAGGTATTTTTGCAGCAGCAGGAGGAGGAGGAAGAAGAGGAGGAATATTTGTTGGTCTGAGGCTTAATTTCTAGTCTTCTGTGTTAAACAATAACAGAATTTGGGGAGGAACTGGGATTGGTCTTTAAAAGGTGCTGAAAAATGAAGTCTGCAGTAAGCATTTTCAAATGCCAGCTTCCCTCCTTTGCCTTCCCAAAAAGACAAAACCTCTTCCTGAGGAGACTCGAGGCTGTTGGCTGACTAGGAGCTCATCAAGACCTGACAATGTGCGCTTGCAATCCGGAAAGCCACCGGTGTCCTGATTCAGCCAGCGGGCTGAATCCAAAGCAGTGTGGCTGGAGCACCCTGCTCCTCTGCTCTGCTCTGGTGAGACCTTCTCCCTGCTCCCAGGGTAGTGTGTCCCTGGAGCATCTGGGCCCCCTGGTGTAAAAAAGATGTGGGTCTGTTGGTCTGAGTCCAGAGGAGGGCCATGAAGATGATAGGGGGGCTGGAGCACCTCTCCTACGAAGACAGGCTGAGAGAGATGGGGCTGATCAGCCCAGAAAAGAGAAGGTTCCTGGAAGGCTGTGCAGCATTCTTCCAGTGTGTAAAGGGGACCTGCATGAGGGCTGGAGAGGGACTTTCTACAAGGGCATGTAGGGATGCAGGGAATGGCTTTAAACAGACTGAAGGTAGGTTTGGATTATATATCAGGCAGAGATTCTTCACTGTGGAGGCACTGGAACAGGCTGTCCAGAGAAACTGTGGCTACCCCCATCCTTGGAAAGCGGTCAAAGCCAGGCTGGGTGGGGCTGGCAAAGAGGATTGTAACTAGATGATCTTCCAGGTTCCTCCCAGCCCGAACCGTTCTGTGATTCTATGATCAGACATCCCTTTAGTCTAGTAAGGGATGTCTGATCATAGGGTTTGACGCTTTTGGCCGCTCACCTATCCCGGCACGCCGGGAACAGGAGCCCTGTGCGGCGCTCCGCCGGTGTCCCGGCCATGTCCCTGCGGTGTCCCGGCGGTGTCCCGGCCATGTCCCGGTGCTGTCCCGGTGCTGTCCCGGCGGTGTCCCAGCCATGTCCCGGCGGTGTCCCGGCGGTGTCCCGGTGGTGTCCCGGCCATGTCCTGGCGGTGTCCCGGCAGTTCCCG